TCTCTCTCACATCCTGCTCCTCTCTCTGAGGCAGGTTCTCTCGCTGGCTCCTGAGAAACTCCTGGCTCTCAGGTGGGGTCTGCGCTGGCTTGGCTGGGGCCGGGCTGTGGCAGAGGGGGGGGGGGCTGTGGTGGGGGATCGGGTGCAGCCAAGGCTGGGCAGGACCTGGATGGACCGGTTGGGCCTGGCTGTGCCCCTACTTCACATGCTGTGCCCCCTCTTCAATGTGTCATTGGCAGAGGGGCTGTTTAGCTCAGCCTTGGCCAGAGGTGGGTCCGGCCTGGAGCTGGGGAGGCTTCCAACAGCTTCTCACAGGGGCCATCACTGTAGCCCCTCCCCCGCTACCAAAAAACCCACCTCACAGAACCAAAACAGTAATTTACTCCATTGTATGTCATTCTCTCAGTAATTTTCAGTCATGCTTGCAAAGCATCTTTCATCAGCTCTTAGAAGCTGAGTTTTCGTAGTTTGACATCTCTTTCACTGTTGAGCTACGTAGGTGGTCACTTCTGCATAGGTAGTATAAACTGAGGGTAAACCATACCCCCCCCCCCCCCCCCCCCCAGTAACAGTAATCTCACGTGAAATTCAGATCCTAACCTTTCCAAATACCTTGAATGAATGCAGTTCCTTTTAGAACTATATTCCTGGAGATAATACCAGTCAGCATCTGAAAAGTTGCCGTGCTGTAAGTCTCTAGCTGTGAAGTGTGCATCTGCTCTGAATGAATAATTGCTTAGGAATCTGATGCAGTGAATTCACTTCCCAGGATAGTTTCTCTCTCTCTCTTTTAAGATTTGAGAACACTATTCAAATTTCTTTAAGCCCAGCTTCAATATAGTGTTGCTCAGTAGTTTATGCTGTGCAAAAACAATTGTTTTTTGTAATACAGAACTAAAGCATATTTCCCTGAGTTACTTGCTTAGACTGTAGTAAGCACATACTTTTAAGCCTGGGAATAGATTGTATGCATGTATGAGTCAATAATTAATGGGTGCAGTATTAAGAAAATGATTTACCTGATAAAGTGTAGTTTTTCCTGCTGACTTACTGTAGCTTTGCATTTTGTTCATTGTGTGAGAACTAAATGATTAACTCAGTGACCTGTAGTAACCAAAGGCTGAGATTAAAAGTGGATTAGTGAGTTAAGTAACCACAATTCCTTCCTAAAGCCGAATCTGTTACCTCTTTCTGTAGACAAAAGAGCTCTGGCTTATGTGCCCTTCTCTCTAAGCATTTTTAAAGCTTTTTTTTTGCTGCTTAAGTTGCCCTTTGGAAAGATAGGTGGTATTAATGCTTGTAGTGGGTTGCTGTCAGTAGTACTTCTTGAAGAGCTTAGTGGAAATCAATGTGGATATCTAGTTCTGTATCAAGTGAACTGCATGTTCGTGTAGAAAGTGAGCTCTAGCGATGACAATGCAGGAAAAGCATGACTAGCCATTGGTGAGAAGATGGGTGCAAAAGCATACTCCACCTGGAAGCCACCTTCCAGCACTTGGAGTGACAGTGAGCAGGCTATCTAGGAGCATTAATGGGTTGGAAGTTGTAAAACCTGACACTGTGAGAATGGTAGGAGTAGGAAAAATTGGAACATCCTGCTGTTTTCCGCCCATTGTCCATAGGTGCGATGGGAGACTGGTTACAAACACTGATGTATCTCTTAAGCCAGGTGACTATCTTGACTGTCCTGGTACTTCACCTTGCAGCAGTCAGTGAAGACAGCTTTTTACGTTATCTGGTCTATGCTCAGTGTCTAGCAAAAGAAAACATAAGGAGTTACTGGGGAAGGAATGAGAGGAATATGCTACTCTCTGAACCTGTCATAACTGAACAGTTATCACCCCTGCCTTTGTTGCTCCCATCTTAAAGAAAGTACTGTAGACCTGGAAAAAAATAGAGAATTGTGGTGAGGATAATCACAGGTACGTGGTGACTCCTAATCTGGGAGAGATTAAATAGCCTGTGATTCTTCCACTGGGAAAAGATAGGAGATAGTTGTTAAAAACATATTAAAAAAAACTGGGGTGGAGTTTCTTATTAGGGAGCCATCATTCATAGGGTTTTTTTTTTAGTTTCTGTAAGCACAGAACTAATAATGAATACAGGATGGAAGTTTTGAACCAGGTGGAAGCTTTGAAACAAAATGAAATAATTGTTTGTGCCATAGTTAAATATTGGAGCATACTGCTGCCAGGCACTATGTATGCCAAAAATTCAAAAATATTCAAGAGGTGTTTAAGTAAATCCATGGAAGAAAGTTCGATCAAGAGCTACGTAGAATAAAAAGCTGATAAAGCGTCTAGTTCAGTAATCTGTTAGCTGCACATTGTGGAAGACTGAGAGAATATTGTATATTTGCCCTGTTGTTAGACTTTTTGCCTAAGCATCTGTTCGCATTTATTCTGAGACAGGATTGACCTTTTTTCTGACTCAGTGCCACCACAATTATGAGCTTGTAGAGCTGATTTTCAAGTCTTCTTTTTTCCTTCCAATCTCTCTTTCTAGGAGAGATTCTTCAACATAGCAGCTGTTTGCCCTCTTTCACATAGCAGGCAAATAGCTGTATGTCAAGGTGGGTATCTGTAATGACTGTATGCCTTTAAGATTAATTTTTAGGAGGTCAAAGTAGAGAATGTGTGATCTGTACACTACGAGTTTAAATATATATATGTATATATCTCTATCTGTACTTTTATTTAGCTTTAGAAAGATGAAAAATGAAAACAGTCCAGAAACCCAAAGAAGTAAAACAAGCGCCCCATGGGAGGAAAATGGCCCACAGAGGTAAGGCAAGGCATGATGTCATAGGTATGGTGCAACGGTAAATATCATGCCACGGCGGTAGATTGAAGGATATTGTTATAATATATTAACACATTAACAGGGTTGCAGTAAATCTGTATTGAATATAAGATAGTTCCTGTCATGGATAAATAATCATTAAAAATTTAGAAAAGTAGGTGTAGGAGGAAGTGGTCAGTGGATGAGACTCACCAGTGACTTTCCACAGAGATTTGTTCATAGACCTCTGCTATTGAGTATATTTGTCAAAGACCTGGAAAAGGGGTGATAAGGTTTGGTGACGGGACAGAATTGTTTAAGATAGTAAAAGCTGACTGTAAAAAGGGGCAGGAAGACCCCTAAAGTATGAGTGACAAGTCACTAGATGGTGGATGATGTTGAGTTAGTGACTGTAAAGAGAGGCACATGGGGGCAAAAAACCCCCCCTAGACTTCTGAGTGAAATGAGGTGCTGTGGAGTTATGATGGATAACTTAATGAAAACATAAACTATGTAGCAGTCAGAAAAACAATTAGCAATTATTAGGAAAGCAAGAGAACAGCATTATGCCATTACATAAATTTGTGGATCACATATTTGATCCATGAACTGTGAGTGTAGTTCTGATGTCCTTATCTCAGGAAAAGGCTTTGCGAAGGGCAGCAAGGGTAATCAAAGGAAGTCTGTACAAGGAGCATAGCCCAGGCAGGACTCTTTCTTCAATCCGGGAAAGAGATAATTTCAGGGGTTGGATCTAGAAAATTATAAGTAGTACAGAGAAAGGAGAAGGAGATCAGGATTGTATTTTTCCAGCATAAGAATTTGGGATCTTCAGACGAAGCTAATGGAGGTGGTTTAAACACGCTGAGAAATGCAGTGAGTAGTGAGTCATTGTGAGCAGGAGACCTGTGGTCCTCCTTTACAAGGGATGCTGAAAGTTGGTGAATACCTGGAAGAAGCTGGCTGAGTCATGGAACAGAAATCCCCAAGAACTTTAGAAGGCAGAGGTATTGCAGATGGCTCAGTAAGTCTGGAGGACTGAGAGCACTGGGGAGCTGTCATACGTATTGCACTTCTTGCTTCCTGTAGGTGGTTGCTTACAGACACTGTTGGAAACAGGCCACTGAACTAGATGGCACATTGAGTGTCATCCAGTATGATCTTGCTTTTATGTGATGATTCAGATTGGTACATGGTGTGTCTTTTGGGACACCGTGATGATTTACCCTGTGTGCTCCTTCTGTAAACAATTTTTTCAGAGTAAGGACAAGACAGTGTGAAAATATCTTCTTGCTACAATACGTGTTTATTTGTGAGTTTCAAAGAAGAACTAGTGTCAGCTTGTCACATCATGGCTCCAGTGTTAAAATTGCTCTCAGAATAACAGAAAGTTTAATCCTCCAGGAGCCAAAGAATGGTAGGATTGAGTTTTCGTAAGTCCGTCTGCTCTAAAGGACTACGTAGTTTTAGAACACATAAGCAGACTGCATACTGCACAGAGGCTTTCACGGCTTCTAATAATAATTCTCATTGAGATGAACTGTGGCAGCTTTTCAGCTGTGCAGAGCAGTGCTGTAATCAGCAGTGTGATTACAGAAGCACGTGAAGAAGAATGTATCCAATTTGAAGGCCAGACAGTTATAGTAAAGCAGAAAGAAATGCCTTAACTGGAATTTGGTAAGAATATCATATTAATCACATAGTTGTGAAAAGGGCTAAGAGTAATGTTAGATGAAGATGTGTGGTTAAGTATAGCATCCTTCTTCCAAGAAGTCATGGAACATCAGTAGACTGCCTTAGAGCTGACATGTATTTCATTGCAAGCTCTGTTACACTGTTGGAAGAGGTCCTTGTGCTTCTATAGGAAGGTATCACAGGATAATGTCTAAAGGCATTTGATAGTCTACATCTAATTTGGTAACAACCCAGCCCATTGGGTCCCACTCAGGCTTAAGTACATAACCTGAAGCTTGAAGCACCTCTACACCATTGACAGAGATTTGCATGGATGAACAGCAGAGAGCTGGAGCTAAAATTGTTTCACTGTCCAAGCATTAGCACTGTGGTGAAGATGTATGTTGCAACAGGAACACTGTTTTCATGCTTATATCCATGGAAAACATAAAGAATAACTCTAGTTGGACTAACTCTGAGTTGGACTAACTCATACAAAAGCATAGAAATATTATTATGCTAAAAGAACGTATATATACTTGGTTCTACATTTTGTAAGCTTAGAGCTGTTTGCCTGGTAATGCTAAGAGGTCTCTCTCCTACGTGTTCAAAGCTCAGTGTAAAATATTTATTGCTGGAAAGCAGTACAATGTTAATATTATGTATTTACATAGCACTCACACACATACATGTATAGTATATAAGTGTGTGTGTGAGACTTATGATTTTTGTAGACCGAATCTCGTTTAGCTGGCGTAGCTCTCCTGGAGGTTTTAAAGCCAACTGTTTGCTCTTCCTTTTTAACCATAGTGGGATGTATAATTCTCCCAGTGACCGCAATAAATCACCAAAGTTTCCTTACTCTCGGCGACGGAACCCATCAGGTGGCAGCGAGAATGAGTCTGGGCAGCCAGTCCGGAGGAGGTAAGAGCCCCAGGGTTAATTACTGTTAGCTTCTCACAGTAGAAAGCTTGAGGTCCTGCATGTTCTGTGTTCAGTAAAGGCTCTTGGAGACACAGCTGGTCCTGGGAAAAGGAGTACTCTAGGGGCCAGTTGTTAGTCCAAAAAAAAACCTGAGCAAGAATAACCAGATTTGCTTTTGGAAAGGAAGCTTTGGTCGGGCTTTTTGCTCGTATGCTGTTCTGGGTACCAGGAAAGTGATGCTAAAAATGTGAGAAATTATATTATTGGCACATGCAAGATCCTTTCAGTTGCTGCAGCTATTTTTCTCTTGTGTAGGAAAGCACTGATGGATGTTGCTTGCTTGACAACGAGCTTCTAATACAGAGCAGCATTTTGTTTTAAGTACATTGCTTTGCTTTAACTGCAACAAAATTTAAACGAATGAGCCATAAAGCTGTCTTCAGCAGTCCCATGTGTGAATTACTTTATGTTACAGAGGATGCCAGCAAAAATACAACTGTGAGATGCTACGTGTGTTTTTAATGGGTATGTGTGGAATTGAGTAACTTAGAGAAGTAAAATTAAATGGATGGACGTTCTCTGCTTGGTGTCCTGGAGTATGTCCAAAATGTGAATTACAGGGACAGTTCTGAAATGATACAGTTTTGAGAGGCTACATGTTACCTGGGATGATTTGTCCTGCTGGGAAGCTGCTTTCATCACCCTGGTGCTGTGATCCGCTGTATAGACAAGCATAGCTACTGTGCCATATTCTTTGCCGTCTTCTACGACTGTCTTATGAGACAGAACTTTGGAGTTACATCTCCATCTGACATCTCTGAAGTGATTACCTGTTTGGCTGTCAAAGCCAGGGTTTGCAAAGGAATCTCTGAAAATGCAGCTGTATCTATGAGGAAATGTAGTTAGATGTGGAGCTTTTATATTTGTCAGTTTTCTGAGCTGCTCCAGACATTTTACCTGCCATTAGCTGTCTAGAACAGGAGTGAAGAAACTCACCAATGGCATATGCTTAGTGATCTTATGGCTGAGTTAATCAGCGTAGCTCTGTCTAAGTCAATAGAGTTATGTTGATTCACTCTGTTGGATAGAGCCCTTGGGAGTGTTAGTAGCAATATGTTCCTGAATTAGTTTTCGGATTCATTGCTAGTGTATTTGTCAGAAGGACTTGGGCTCTGTAAAAGCCAAGGAATAGAGATTTGCAGTGCAAAACTGTCTTGTACCAAGAAAAGAACAGTATTTGTGCAGGACAAAATTTTTTGAGATGCAAAGTGTTATCATCTGGGATTTGCATTTGGCTGATCTGCTTGGTGGACAGGTGGTCATGCCAATAGCAAGTTTTCTCTGGGGCTAGCACATGAACAAAATGTTTTTAAAAGTCTTATCTCATATGTGAGACTGTGAAGACTGACAATAGTAGGTAGATTCTAACCTAATTATGTCTTCCTGTATCTTGGTTTTATTAATGCAATTTCCTTTTTCAACTGTTCAATAACAATAGTCATGTTGTTTGTGCACCCTTTACTGGAATTAAGAGGGAAACATCAGGCTTTGCTATGCTGGAAACAGTAGGAAACTCTAAAGGCTGGCATGCCTTGCTTAACCTTGCAAGTCAGGGGTTTGTAATGAGAGCTGGAATGGGATCATGCCTTTGCAACATGTTGTAGAAATTAGATCATGCCTTCACAACTTATTGTAGAGGTGTCCTGAGAAGTTTAAAATAAGCGCATGCCCTTTTTCTCTGCCTTGAATCATATTGACAAAAATCCTTTATAATGTTCTTTTTTTTAAAGATGTGAGTTTTTGTGTGTTTCTCTTAAGTGATCCAATGGTTTTTCATTAAAAATTCCTTAATGTCACAGGAAAAATCAAAACAGTGGTGAAGATTCAGATTTAAAGCAAAGGAGAAGGTAAATATTTAATCTATAGCAGCCATGAAATTATAGCAAAAGTACTGATCGTGTTTTAGTTCTGTTCATCGCCTCCCTTCCTTGCTTCTTCTCCATCTCCTTAAATGTTTAAAAGGCTTGTTGTGTTCTGCTCATTTAATTTTTTCTTTCCTATCTCACTTGCTGAAATGCACTGTAGCATAATCTCATCACAGCACATTCCTGAAAGCTGCCTTGCACATTGTTACTACACTATGCTAGAAGCAATTTGTGGAAGTTTACTAAAGGCTTGTCTGCAATTTGAAAGTCAATTCCAGAAGTTTTAGATTTTGGATTTTGCACCTGCAGATTTTGTTTTGAGTCCTCCAGCCTTCCTGCCCACTTTTAATTAATCTATTTTGAAAGCAAGCATACTATAATTTGAGATGGATTGTCCTGCAAAAGGTAAGTGCAGCAGCATATGCAACTTCTAATGGTCTTCTCACTGTCTTATACATTTTTTGCTGAATTTTTTTCTTAAGCTTCTCTTTTTTTCCCATTCAGTCTTGACTAGTTACCACATTTCCAAGTAAAATGCTGGTGTGAATTCGGGTGTGCCCTTCAATAACTTAAGTTTTTGACAGATTTTTGCATCTAGTGTTCTCTAGTGCCACATCTGTCTGCTATGACTCTGTGCTTTGCTTTTCCTCACTCCTGTGCTACTGCCCTGGCTGCTGGAAAAAGGAGACAGTGCAGTATATTTTGATAGCAAAGTCTCTTGAAGCTTGCAAAGGAGAGGAGGCACTCCCAGGGTCTGATTCACTGCTGCAGCATGGGAAAGGAGCTCTGGCAGAGATACAAACCTCTCAGGGACAATCACAGGAAGTCAGAGAAGGTGCTCACATACTTTGCACCTGTTGTAAGATAGCAAATTATTTTTCTGAAGGATGTTACCATTACAAGCTCCCAGTAATAGTCCCATGGTGGATGTCCAGCACATAAAACAGAGAGGATTTAGTTAGGTGTCTCAGGTGGAAAACCCTAGTGCTCAGAAGTGAACTCTTCCCAAAGGCTGTGCCTGCGGTATTACATTACAGATGTACAGGTGTGTTATTGCGTATTGGAACAGACCTTCTCCACTTCTTCACAATTTTGATACTTTTCTCTCATTTTAATCAGAAAAGAACTGCATCAGAATGTGAGCCTTGTTTGTCAACTGTTTCTCAGAAATACCAAATCCTGCAAACCACCGCACCCTCCAAGCTCCCTCCTGGGCTGTATTTGTTCTGTCTGTATTGCCAAACTCACTATGCCTTCTTTTTTGCTCCCAGTGTCAGACCATATATACCGCCCACAAAATACCAAATATGTTGCATGACAAAGAAAACATGAGAAAGGGGTGAAAGGTGCTTTGTAATTCTCAGAGATCAGGATGATCTCGTGTTCTTGCACCTGACTTAGGAAACCACCTTTGTTTCCATTTTTGGTATTTTATTCAGTTCAGTAAAAGCTGATGTTTAATATTCATTGAAAGAATGTTCTGACATCCAGCATGAGCAGCAGCCATTCAGCTGACAGTTCAGCAGCCCTGCTGTCTTCCCCCAGGTGCTTTGCTGACAGGGAAAACAAGGTAATTTGATGTGCAGTATCTAAAAGGTGGATCAGATTTCCATTCCTGTAAAGTCAGAGGAAGGCTTATCTTGAATTGGAGCAAATAGGATGTTTTATCTTGCGCTTTTGCCACGATGTGAGTTTTGCTGCCTTGATGCCTTATGGGATAAATTACTTAAATCAGAGTAAGAAAATACTTGAAGTGCTGAGAAACGTAGAAGAGAAGAGTCACGCCGATGACCTGTAAATGTGAAAGAATAGTATTGCTTGGATGACCTAGTAATGTTAAGGTTCAAGATTAAAGCAATATTTATTAAATATTTGATAAGATTTGGGGAAAAGAGGTGTACTTTTTGGCATGTAAGGTCTGCTCCAGATGAGTGTAATTTTTTTTAGAACCTCGCTCAGTAGTACAGTAACAGAGTCTTGGTTTCTAGGACAATAGCCCTGACAGCTGGTCTGTCTGCTCCAAAATGTTGATCAGTGGGAATCAAGGATTTAAGTGTCTCAGATAATAGTGGCCAAACACTTCTCTCTACTGAGAGAAATTGGTCTGTAGGTAGGCATATGCTCATTTTCTTTTTGAAGTTCAGCATCAGCCTGTTCCTCTAGTATTTTTCAGTAATAAATAGAGCTGTAAATGTTACCTTGCCATTTGAAGCCTTGCAGTCAGAGGTGATACTAAAGAAACTGCTTTATTTTTTTTCCTCACTGATGCACTTTGTAGCTGTGTATTGGGTCATCCCCAAGCTGTGCTGATGCACACGCCTGCCAGTCTGTGCCCTTCAGCCCTTCTGTATTTATAAAGATCAACAGAATCACAGTGTTAGTGGAGTTTCTTCCATACTGCCTGTCAGATAGAAAATTATATGAACTTCCTAGAAGCCATTTGGAAGTTGAGGTGAATAGAAAAAATGGATCTGGTGAGCATTTTGTTTTGCCTGCAAGACCAGAATTACTATGTTGCTTCTGTTGGGTGTCCCACAATATGCAGTAAGAAAAGATCCAGAATCATAGAGTCATAGAATGGCTAGGATTGGAAAGGACCTTAAAAATCATCAATTTCCAATGCCCCTGCCATGGGCAGGGACACCCGCCACTAGCCCAGGTTGCTCAAAGCCTCATCCAGCCTGGCCCTGAACACCTCCAGGGATGGGGCATCCACAGCTTCTCTGGGCAACCTGTTCCAGTGCCTCACCACCCGCACAGTGAAAAATTTCTTCCTAATGTCTAGTCTAAATCTACCCTCTTTCAGTTTATACCCGTTACCCCTTGTCCTCTCACTACACTCCCTGATAAAGAGTTCCTCCCCATCTCTCCTGTAGCCCCCTTCAGGTACTGGTAAGCGTACAGTTTAAGGACAAAACATTTCACACCTCAAACAAACATTTCACCGTGGCATATACACAAAGAATGCTGAGAGATAAAATAAAACAAACAAACAAAAATGCAGTGCAATGATTAAAAAATAAAATAGCACTCACATGACACTGCATTCTGAGGGCACTCTCTTCAAAGCACTTATTCCCAATGAATTAGTGAGAAAAAGGACATGACTTTCAGATGTAGACAAGTCGCTTTATTCTAATTTTCCTAATAATGTCTTTGCAGGGGTTTTCATTCGTTGTTTAAAACGTCAATACTTTGTACAAGAAGTTAGTAAATTCATCTTGAGGTGTTGTTTTTCACTCCAGATCACGGTCTCGCTGTAACACCAGCAGTGGCAGTGAATCAGAAAATTCCAACAGAGAGCATCGGAAGAAGAGAAACAGGTGACCATTGTATATTTTAGTTATAGAGACATGAAACAGGAACAAGTGGAGGTGGACTTTTCTGAGATGGACCTAGTAAGAAGGAATCTAACAGGTTTTATATGTATATAGTCCTGCTGAGGCAGCTCAAAGTCCTTTTTTTTAATAAGAATAGAGATAATTGCTAAAACAAATATACATCATAGGTGTATGCCATGAATGTATACCCTCCTGTTGCTTGGGCAGAACTCGTTAATGGATTGCAAAATCAAATATGAGGCACATTTGCAAAAAACTTACAATATTAGTCCAATAAAATGGATAAGAGTGATGACAAGATATTTACAGCATATGCTTCAATACGTCAAAAGTTGCAAGTGCAGAATTTTAGTGGGAAATAAGCTTTTGAGGAGAAGAGTCAAAATACTTTAATGAATCTGAAACTCAGTATTGTTTTGTATGCATGCATTTAATTGTAAAAATTTTTATTCTCTCAAATGTAAAGTGTGAGCCTAAACTCAAACTGTGTATGGTGTCAGCTTTTAATAGGACAACAGCAGTTTATATTGAGTGATGCTAGCAAGTTTTGGTTTTCTATATTTGATATTTCTTGTCACTGATAAGAAAAAGTTGGCATAACAACTGATCTATTTTGGCAAAAAATCCTTGAAAACTGCAGCTTTTATGTTGCGCTTGAGATAACAGCATTTGAGAGTTATTTATGAAAATTTATTTTTAAAAAGCACATAGAATTTCTTCATATTGCATAAACGACATAAGACTACTGTCACTGGACAAAAGAGGAATTTTTAAAGGCAAATTTTCTAGGAAGCTGTCTGCACAAGCTGACATAGTATCCTGTTGTCTCACATGCAGTAGTACTATGAGTAATAAATGATTTTCAGATATTTTGAAGCTCTTAAAAATAATTGTCTGCTAGAAAGTGCTGCAGAAGTATGCTGTATAATAATATTTTAAGCAATGTGTTTTGATTTGCAACAGTTAGATGCTAAAAAATCGTTGTGACATTCAAATGGGCTGGACTAAAGTGTAGCTGAGCCATGGGGTTTCTTAGGAGTTTACTTAAATCAGAGCACAGTCTTGTGAGATACTTGGCTAACAGTAACCTAGTGTGCATGGAAGATCTGTTTTCCAGGTGAGCTCCAGAGTTTGAGTGAAATGCAGAGTATAGTTTAAGTGATCAGTAGGTAAATGCTATTTTGTATCCCTTTCTCTTGGAACACCTTTGCCAGGATTTTTCTGCTGTGAAACTTCTTGTCCAGGGAGCTCCACAAGCAAGCAAAGGAAATTAGAGACTGACCACAAGAATGTTTTTAAGAACTTGCAATATAAAAATTGGATTGAAAGAAGTATTAAGTACTGTTTATCATTTTCTGAAGATTAAAAGGGCCTTTAACTGACCCTTACTCACCTCATGGAAAAGAGCTTAAAATTAAAGAGAAAAAAATATTTGTATGGATTGTTTTTCAGAAATGTAAGATACGTCAAAAATGTTAATGCTTGCAGCATATCCTACTCTTAGTTGGTCACTTGAAATCACACCAGATCAAAAATCATTATCAGTGTTAAAGTAAAAAAAAACCTAAATGAGCGGGAGGTCTGAGACTTGTTCCTTGTCCTCAGGTGCAGGAAAACCACCCGTCATAATGAATTTCTGCATTTTGTTAGCCACAACAAGAATATTATGAGCTGAAAGGGCACAGGCACTGAATAGCTTTCCCATTAGCAGAGGTGAGGGTTAAATGGGACAGTGTAATGAGGCTTGCAGCTGCTGTTACTCAAGTTTTGCCTGTTGCAAAGATTGAAACTAATTTGTTTCCCAGTATAATAATCAGATTCCTCGTACAAGCAGACACAAAGTTGTTTTATTGGAATAAGATGACTGAATACTCACATTAACCAAAATAATCTGCTTGTAATCATAGAAGAGTAGAATATATTGTTCACATGAGAAGAGATCACTGTGAACTATTTATCAGATGAAAATAAATTATCAGAGAAAAACAGAAATGCAGGTGAGAACTTCTGAAGTTGGAAAAAGGTTACAGAGAAACTCTTTACTGGATCTCTGTCAGTCTTTGAAGTTTAATTCCATCATGTGAGTGTTCTATCCTAAGCAGATGTTCATAGAAATTGAGGAAGAACCTATAATGAGCATATTTCAGTCATGGAAGAAATCTATTTGCTTTTTTTTAATGCTGTGTTCAAAATGTATTGTGTAAACTATTAGACAACATGTACTGGAGCATAGTCTTCTACTTGACTATACCTAGAAGATCCATCAGATTAGAATTGATTCCTTATTCATCCGTGCAGGCTTCCTGGCATTTTTGCTTGACTTCCTACTTGCGGGGATGGACCTCTCTTGAGCCTGGAGGAGGTGATCCTTGAATACTGACCAACTTTTTTGGGCCTCTCTTCCCTCCAGGGCCTTATCCCACTGGGCTTTTTCAGGGAGATCTTTGAAGAGGCCAGAGTCTTCTCTCTTGAAGTCTAGGGTTGTGATTTTGGTTTTTTTTTCCTCCTCTCTCCTCTCAGGGTCCTGAATTTCACCATCTCATATCACTGCAGCCAAGGCTGCCTTTGGCCTCCACATTCCCAACAAACCCCTGATTGTTAAACATTGTACCTAAATGATAGCTATCTACTCAAACATTTTGAATCACATTTCAGGAATCAAGTCTTCTGAATGTCTTGTTTTAAGAGAATTTATCATTTCATAAACGTAGCTTGCTGTCATATTACCTGAAATGGGGAAAAAACATCTATAAGTCAACAGACGAGTGATGACAGTCTTATAACTTTCTATTTTACCATCTAGTCTTGCTGAAAACAATGCCTAATGTGTCGCTGATAGCTATGAATCTCAACTGGATTTATTTTGCGTGCCAGTAACAAGGATAAACTTGTTCCTTTTTGGGGCAAAATATGAATAAAAGGAAAGTTTTAATAGACTTGGAGTATAAGGACAACACTTTTTTGTCAAAAGTCTCTTTAAATAGAAACCTAGGTTTTAAGTTAAATTTTTTTTCCATTTTTCTGGTGTTGTTGCTGTTGTCCTCTCTCAGTTGTCAGAGAGCTAAAGATTTTGCCCCAAAATTGTTATGATTTGATCATTGCATCTAAAGAATGTATTTTATGTAGAGATTGTGTTACATTGGTCATCCTTTACATTGTTAAATGTGAGCATAGTACCTTTCTTTGCAGCTGCAAAATGAGTGCTTTATTGCTTCATATCTCCCTTTAGTAGAGTTCTGGTGTGGTACAACAGTACTTTGAGTCTGCTGACGCTGCTTGTTTTAATAGTTGCCATGCTACTTTATCTGTTTAGATTTTTTGCTCATTTTTTGTGGTTTGCTCAAATTAAAGAGATAAATAATAGTGATGAACACTGCTGTATGTTACAACAAGTAGAAAAAGGAGGCAGAGTAGATATATGAAGAACTTGGAGATAATTTAATGCATTTCTAAGGACTGTGCTTTCCACACAGAAGTCAGTAGATAAAAAGAGTTGATATTGTTATTAACAATGACAAGCAAATAACAATAGATTTTAGTAGACAGGCATATAAGGAAGAAAGCAAAAGTGATAGAGGATGGCTGGGCATGTGACCAAATGAGAGTAGGAGTGTGGGGAGAAAAGAAAAGTAAGACATAGATGGAAAATCAATACATTGGAGAAGTTTATAAGAAGGCAAATAAGACATCTTTAAGTCAGATATGTAGCAAAATTCATTGTAGGGGACAAAGAACACTGAAAGATAGAAAAAGTCCGGAAACAAAGTGATTTTTTTTTTTTGCCATTAGTTCTTTCAAATTAAAAAAGTGAACATATGTTTAAGACAATTTAATTAGGAGGGAATAAAAGGCTGAAGTAGAATGGGATTACAGCGTGGGCATGTGATGAAAACTGAAGCATATATAGAGGATTGATGCAGGAACAGAATCAATACCACCAAGGCTCATTTCAAAAGTATGAAATTTTACACAATTCCTGACTCAGACTTCTGCTTTCTCTTGACTACAGTTATGCTCTTTTAGTAAATAGTATTGAAACATTACAGTGGCCTTTTACAAAAAGCAAAAGCTGTAGTATCCTGAGTTTCAGCCACTAAGATTTAGTTTAATTTTTTTCTTCAGATTGTGTAGAAGGCAATGTAAGGGAAATATATTGCAGCATAACAGAATGGAGAAGCACTTCAGGGAAATAAAATCTCGTCTTACAGTGGTCCCAGATTTTGCTTCCTTCTCTGTGTTCCTATCAAAGAGCTGTGCTGTGCTGTAGCATTGTTCTTCATCACCAGTCTTCTGTATCTGCAGGGGGAAATGTCTGCAGGTAGCTCTGTATGACATCTGTGTGCTGAAGTCACTCTTGGAAATGACTGAACCCAAGTGTCCAGGGCTCATGGAATACTACTGGAGTAAAAGTATAAACATCATGTAAGATTGCAAGCATCTGAATGCCTTCTTCAGAGCGCAGCTGTCTACTTGACCTGTTAGGAGTTGTTGTCTGGGAGAGGTGGAGTGAGGTACTAGCAAGCAGGCAGACCCAGCACCCAGGGCAGCAGCACTGGTCGGGCAGCTGTGTGTTGTCTTTTTGTGCAAGTGACTGCCATATGTGCGAGGCAGTTGATAGTATTTGTACCATCTAGGATGATTGCTGTCTCCACAAATTGGATTATTCGGGATGAAAATCACAGTTCATTACTTGTTGATGTGTGAGTTCTTCTACTAAATCCTTAGAAAGAAATTTATGTTAATCCCTGTCACCAAATTGCAGGTTTAAAAAGACTGCTTAGAAATCAAAACCTTATGTTGCTATCTTCTACAGACACTGAGTGCCATTTGGTAGAGCTGTGGCCATTTACAGTAGCTGGGGATCCAGCTCAAAATTCATTACGTGTGTGAGACAAGATCTGGTTAAAGGAAAAGCAGCAGCCTGCGTAGCCAGTTTAGCCTGACAGTTAAAAACTCAAGGAGGAAGATACATATATACTCAAGAGTAACAAGAGCATGCTTTGCGTTTCCTAGGCAGTTGTGTCTCTAGTGTAATCCCTTTGTCGCTGTTGGTTTGTTTACTTGTTTTACTTGTCAGTCTTCCTCTTTTTAAGCTCCTCTGGTTTCCTCAGTATGCCAGTCATACTGTCCTATCAGGCAACCCACTCTTGGAGTGGTATTTTCCAGGACTGTTTCTAATCCCTGCTGAATTTTGAATTCACTGCTGTGACCAAGCACATCCATTTGTTCCACTTTAGCATTTCAACGCACCACTCATATCTGCAGCCCCAAAACTGTGAAGTGTCTGTAGAACTTTGAATGGCCAAGTGCTGGCACACAAGTTGGCCTGGCTTGTTGTGTCATTGTAGAGATCCTTCAGCCTCCTAACAAATGTGCTGAATTTATAGATTTTGACATTTGGTTTAATCTGTACTACATTCCAATAATGGATTCATGGATTTTTTTTTTTTAAGTAAAAAAAAAAGAAGAAATAAAAGGCATATGATGTAATTTAGTACCACACAAGCAGAGACGGGGACGAAGCCACAGGGGATATTGCAGAAGGAGTGACAATGGTGGGATTATATGTGTCTGGGGCAGCCAGGGAGATCTGCTTGCATCCTGGGCTTTGTTGCAGGTGAGGGTGAAGGGACCACTTCCTGTGAGTGGGAACTCACCAAGGGCATCCCTGGGGGATTTTCGCTGGGTCCTAGGAAGGTGCATGCTGCAACAAAATATTTGGAAAAGTTGTAGTAGTAGAGCCTTGTATCATGATGTGGGTTTTATAGTTGTTGTAGATGAGGTGGGCTACAATATGTAAACACGAAAAAAATTCTAAATGTTTGGCACGGGCTGGAAAGATGAATTCAAGTTGTGGGCGTGTTCTTAAAGGCCTGCGTCATTTCATTTTTGGCTTATGCTGTTTCTCAATAACAAACCAGCGAGTTTTCTTTGATACGGCTTCCTACATTGTAATGTAGTTTGGGAGCATGAAATAGAATTTAGCAAGATGAAAAATTAAAGTATTGCATTGCAGGAGCTTGATTTTTGGAGGGAAAAAAGATACCCCATTACTTCAGAAAGTATCCTGCATCAGAGACCTCAGACTAAACTCCTGGTGTGTCTTTTGCAGATCACGGCAAGAGAATGACATGGTTGACTCGGCTCCTCAGTGGGAAGCTGTGCTGCGGAGACAAAAGGAGAAAAATCAGGCAGATCCAAACTACCGTCGATCCAGGCACAGATCTCGATCGTATGTAACCCTTGCCCTCTTGGATGTGAAAATTAAGGCTGTTGTTGCATGTTAAAAAGCAGGAGGAGTATCTCCAGTGTAGAGGTGGCGGCCCTCAGCTGCTGAGGAACAGAGCCTTTCATGTGTCATGAGCTCACATTAGCAGATTTGTCTTTGTGGTCAAACTCCCTTCTTGTAGTGATTTGAATTTCAGGACACAAAAAACACAGGAAGAGCTTTGTAACAGAGCTAGTGAGGAACTCTCTCTGTCACCTTGGATGAAGTCCTGGATGGTTTTGTGGCTCATTGAACATTAGTTCTGTAATGAGGACAGCAATTCCCCTCTTCTGGGCAGCAAGTCTGTGAAAACATTCAGATTTTGTGTGATAGATGCAGGAATTTTTCTGAAATGCCTGCACACTTGTTTATTCATATAATGTCTGCGGTATTGTTCCAGATGAGACAGCTACTGGTGTCTTCATATCAAATAGCCTTTGGCAAGCAGCAATCTGTGATTTATTGCATCCTGATGATTTCCATGATGGAGCTGTGCTGCCAGGCAGCACTGTTCCAGCTGACAGATGGTTTTGACATGGTGAAGTTGTCAGCTTCTAAAATTAATAGAATCATAGAACGGTTAGGGTTGGAAAGGACCTTAGAGATCACTGAGTTCCAACCCCCCTGACAAGAGACACCTCCCACTAGACCAGGTTGCTCAAAGCCTCATCCAGCCTGGCCCTGAACACCTCGGGGGATGGTGCTTCCACAGCTTCCCTGGGCAGCCTGTTCCAGTGCCTCGCCACGCTCACAGTGAAAAATTTCTTCCTAATACCTAATCTAAATCTGCCCTCTTTCAGCTTATAACCATCACCCCTCATCCTGTCACTATACTCCCTGATGAAGAGTGTTTCCCCGTCCCTCCTGTAGGACCCCTTTAAGTGCTGGAAGGCTGCTGTTAGGTCACCCCAGAGCCTTCTCTCCTCCAGGCTGAACAACCCCAACTCTCTCAGCCTGTCCTCATACGGGAGGTGCTCCAACCCTCTGACCGTCTTTGTGGCTCTCCTCTGGACTCACTCCATCAGGTCCATAACTTTTTTATGTTGGGGGCCCCACAGCTGTACGCAGTACTGCATGGAGTGGAGGGGGAGAATCACCTCCTTCGACCTGCTGCTATTGCTTCTTTTGGCGCAGCCCATGATACAGTTGGCTTTCTGGGCTGCACACACACATTGCCGGCTCATGTTGAGCTTCTCGTCAACCAGCACTTCCAAGTCCTTCTCCTCAGGGCTGCTCTCAATCCATTCTCCTCCCATCCTGTATTTGTGCTTGGGATTGCCTTGACCCAAATGCAGGACCTTGCACTTGGCCTTGTTGAACTTCATGAGGTTTGCATTGGCCCATGTCTCAAGCCTGTCAAGGTCCCTTTGGATTGCATCCCTTCCCTCCAGTGTGTTGACTGTGCCACACAGCGTGGTGTCATTGGCAGACTTGCTGAGGGCGCACTTGATCCCACTGTCCATGTGCCCACAAAGATGTTAAACAACACTGGTCCCAGCACTGACCCCCGAGGAATGCCACTCATCACTGGTCTCCACTTGGACATTGAGCTGTTGACCACAATTCTTTGAGTGCAACCATCCAGCCAATTCCTTATTGAGTGGGTGGTCCTTCCATCAAATCCATGTTTCTCCAACTTAGAGACAAGGATGTCATGTGGGACAGTGTCAAAGGTTTTGTACAAGTCCAGGTAGATGATATCAGTTGCCCTTCCCTTATCCACCAGCGCTGTGGCTCCATCGTAGAAGGCCACCAGTTTTGTCAGGCAGGATTTCCCCTTAATGAAACCATGTTGTCAACAATCACCGAACCTTGTTATCCGTGTGCCTTAGCATAGATGCCAGGAGGATTTGCTCCATGATCTTGCCAGGCACAGAGGTGAGACTGACCGGCCTGTAGTTTCCTGGGTCTTCCTTATTTCCCTATGTAAAAATGGGGGTTATGTTTCCCCTTTTCATTGGGAACTTCACCAGACTGCCATGACTTCTCAAATATGATAGATAGCAGTTTGGCAACTTCATCTGTGAGTTCCCTCAGGACCTGTGGATGCATCTTATCAGGTCCTATGGACTTGTGCACCTTCAGGTTCTTTAAATGGTCTCAAACCTGATCTTCTCCTACGGCGGGTAGTTCTTCCTTCCCCCAGTTGCTGCCTTTGCCTTCTGCAACTTGGGCAGTGTGGCTTGAACTCTTGCCAGTGAAGACAGAGGTAAAGAAGTCATTAAGTACCTCGGCCTTCTCAGTATCCTGGGTAGCCAGGTCTCCCACTTTCTTCCAGAGGGGGCCCACATTTTCCCTTGTCCTCCTTTTATCACTGACATACCTATAGAAGTTCTTCTTGTTACTCTTAACGTCCTTGGCCATATTTAATTCTATTGGGGCTTTAGCTTTCCTAACCTGATCTCTGGCTTCACGGACAGTTTCTCTGTGTTCCTCCCAGGCTGCCAGTCCTTGCTTCTACCCTCTGTAGGATTCCTTTTTTTGTTTGAGTTTGCTCAGGAGTTCCTTGTTCATCCATGCAGGCCTCCTGGCATTTTTGCCTGACTTCCTCTTTGTTGGGATGCATCAACCCTGAGCCTGGAGGAAGTGATCCTTGAATATCAGACAACTTTCTTAGGCCCCTCTTCCCTCCAGGGCTTTATCCCATGGGACTCTTCCAAGCAGATCCCTGAAGAGGCCAAAGTCTGATCTCGTGAAGTCCAGGGTAGTGAGTTTGCTGTGCACCCTCCTCACTGCCCTGAGGTTCTTGAACTTCACCATCTCATGGTCGCTGCATCTCAGGCTGCCCTTGAGTTTCACAATCCCCACCAGCCCTTCTGTGTTGGCAAGAACAAGGTCCAGCTTAGCACCTCTTCTTGTTGGCTCCTTTATCACTTGGAGAAGGAAGTTATGATCATCGCGTTCCAGAAACCTCCTGGTCTGCTGTCGTATAGTTTATAAAGAAAGCCACCGGACAGCCTCTTGTTCAGCTTCATGGGCTTAGGCAAGGACAGGGAGGGTTCACTCACCACTTACGGTCACGGGCAAGAAACCGACACAACTTGGGAAAACAAAAAAAAAACCCAAACAGTTGAATTTATTAACTATTTACAACAAGAAGCAGGCTAATGAGAGAAAGAAACTACATCTTAGAAAGGCACTTCTCCCCCACCCCTCCCTTCTTCCCAAGGCCCAAAGGCTTTGTTCTGTACCTTCCCCCCACCGTGGCATCACAGGGGGGCAGGGAGTTGGGGGTGCAGTCAGTCCGCTGCTCCTTCCTCCTCAGGGGAGGGCTCCTCACAGTTTTTGCCGGCTCCAGCGTGGGGTCTCTTCTCACGGGAGAGTCCTTCTCAAAAACTGCTCTGGAGTGAGTCCTTTTCAACATGGGGCTACAGTTGCCCAACGACTGCCCACCTCCGGCGTGGGCTTCTCCAAAGTTCCAACACGGGGTCCTCCACGGCTGCATCTTCTCATGGGCTGCACCAAGGGACAAACCGTGTTTCACCATGAATCTTCACCACACTACAGGGGAAATTCCAGGGGCACCTGCTTCCTTCTTGCTCTCTTCACTGACCAAGTGTCTGCGTAGCCGTCCCTCTCAAAATTCTGCTTCTCTCTCTGCCTCAGGTCTTTCATCAGCTCCTGAGAAGATGGACTCTCAGGCAAGCCGTGGCAGAGGCTTGAGCTGCGGCCGGGCGGGGCGCAGGCGGCTGGATGGCTGGCCCAGTCTGCCTGAGCCGGACCATGCCCAGGGCCGTGCCAACCCCATTGTTCCATGCCCCTCTTAAATATGTTATTTGCAGAGGTGCCGATTGGCTCAGCCCTGGCCTGGGGTGGGTCCAGCCTGAAGCTGGGGAAACTTCTAGCAGTTTCTCACAGGGGCTAGAGCAGTGGTACTCCTTCCCTGCACTCCAGAGCCTTTTACTGCGTCTCCGAGAGCTCTGTAATCTTTCTTGATGCTTCTCAGGCTTCTCGCGGCTGTGTCACTGTTGCCCGTGTGAAACAACAGTAGAGGATAATAGTCAGCAGGCCGCACGAGGTTTGGTAGCTTCTTGGTCGCATCTCTAATACGAGCCCCCGAAAGCAGCACACCTCTGTAGAGAGAGGGTCAGGTGGGCAAATGGGTGCCTCCGTACCTCTTATAAGAGAGTCACCTATTACTGTCACCCCTTGCCTTTTCTTATTTGAGCCAGTTGTTATGTGAGGAGCAGATGGGGCTGCCTTGCTCAGCTCCAGCATTTCTTGTGATGGAACAGGTCCTTCCTCTTCAGTTTGCAGAGCAGTGAAACAATTCTGCAAGGGCACTTTGGCCTTTGGAGGAAGCCTGTTCCTGCTGTTGGTCCTTGCCATTGCCTTTGCAAGCCTCTGCGTTACGGGCTTCCACCCTGTCTGCATTAGTGGCCCCCCTTTCTTCTGTGTGTGCTGGTGGGAGGGTGATTGGTTATTTATCCATGGGTTGTGGGTCCACAGCAGACTGCTCCTGGAACCAGTTGTCTGTCTCCTTCTCAGCCTCCCTGATTCTCTGCAGCCTTCTCACGTCCTCCTGCAGCTCACCCACCTGCTGCAGGAGCTCCTCCACCTGGGCACACCTTGTGCAGGCAGGTCTGCCCCTGCCCCAGGGGAAAGTTCCAGGCACCTCTTGCAGTCCCAAGTTGCAGGAGTTGCTGATTTTGTCAAGTGTATTAAAATGCTGGTTTCTTTTAATTTGTGTTTTTCTTCTAATGGCATGTTTTGGGGGTATAGATACACTGTTTTGTATTGTGTTTGTGTCCAGCCTAATCCGCCATCCAAGCTATCATCCAAAGCAGTGACACAATCAGCGTGCCTGGCAGGCAGGGCAGAGCAGGGTTGGGGATGTTGAAGAGTGCCAGAGCAGCTATGAGGCACTGGGAGAGAAGGCAGGAGAGAGCAGTGTTTGAAACTGTATCACCACCCTCACTACGTGGCTAACATGGATGAGTTGTCCAGTCCTGATGCTGATGGTGTAATGTGTAACCTCGGTAACACACTTAGACAGGTACTTACCATTAATGTCTTTTCTTAAATTTACCTTTCACAGTAAGATTTACCAAGAGAAACTGTATAGTGCCTTAAATTATTATTTCATTCATACTGATTGAACGTAATCCACACTGAAGTTTCCGATATTAAAATCCATTTGAGTTCTGTTTTCAGTTGCCGATGTAGCTACAACTCGTTTCTGTCTCCAGTTTCATAGTGTATGGTTTTCATTCTTTTATGAGAAATAGAATTTGCCATTAAAATTCCGAATGTTGTCATTTCTACTTTAACTGACTTTGTACAGACTTGTTCACTTTCAGCTGCACAAAAGTCAGATGTGATTAGGGGTAATTATATAATGATATATTACTAAAAATCAGCAATATTAAAGCTCAGTTGTATGGAATCCACAAAATATAGATGATTAAGTTTCATTTACATTTCTTACTGTATACAAATGTAAACTATGAGGTGTACTCAGTTGTTAATGGTCACGTTAAATTTATACCCGAATTTTCTTTTTTCCCATAGGCCAAGTAAATTTCATTGCTTGACAGAACGGGCTCCCTCTTGTGGCTAACTTAACTAACTTGTTTTCCTGACCAGTGAGATTCTGAGTTATATTTTATTTGAACTATTAGAGGAAAATGTAAATGTGTAGCATCTTAATTAACAAGGAAAGGCCCTAGAGGAAGCAAAGAAATGAGGAAATCCTGAAGATTTTGGATAGCTTCTCATTTCTTTTCCCTATTGTTTCAGTGATGAATATATTCTTCCTTTTTGTCTTACTCTTCAGTTTAAAAAAACAAAACCAAAACAAATAAACCCGAACCTCCCAAGTATGGCAGCAGTCCTTAATATATACAAGTAGGAACTAAAAAAACGAAAATGGAAATTTATTTCAAAGTGCTTTAAAAAAAGTTTAGTAACAGGCATTTAACTGTTAACCTGCAGTAGATTATAAGAGTTTAATTTAGTTTGGCTCAGCTGTTTGCTTATATGACTGGATGCAGGTCAGAGGAAAGGGAAATATGATTCCCTAGAGTATAAGGTATGGTTGGTTTTGGTTTTAAATCTCATCATATGGTAATTTCAATTTTTCACATTTAACAATTGATACAAAACCTTCATTTTGGTAGTACAGATAAGTCATTGAGTTCCTTATAGCAGTCAGCTTAACTTAAAGGTTCACTTTGGAATTGTGAAGTAATGGCTGAAATACTTGTTCCTGTGCCTGCTACAGTGCATGTCACTTGTTTGATAATGAGCAATATTAATCATTGGTGGTGGGGGGGGTGGTGTCTCATTGGTCTCAGGAATAAAAATATTTGACAAGAATTTGACCTTTCTTTCTCCTAAAGGAATCAGCAAACAGAGAGAGCTCCCAGTTCTAGTTCTGCAGGGTTCATTTTCAAGAGTTCATGTAAAACATCTGTGTAGCCAAAGGGCTTTTTTTAATTAAGAAGAATGACCATTAAAATTCCATGGCTATTTAAATTTACAGTTTGTGACTCAAACTGAAATATTAATAAGGGTGCAGATGCAGACACGAAACATAATGTAGACTTATTAATGTGTAGTTGTTCGAGCTTGTGAAAACGAAATAAAAATAAACAAAAAAACCCCTGGAGAGTCATCACTTACTGGGAATTCCCATTGGGTTTCTTGTGCATTAGAGAATGTGATTAGTGTACAAATTGTCCAGATGCTATTGATTCAGATACTGCAACAGGACAATCTGAGTATACGTTATAAGTGAAAACTGTGAGTTCTAAAACAATTCACAGTAAAAAGATGAAAACAAAGTGAAAGAGGGATTGTGATCTGGCTTTAAAGGTTTAATAGAAAGATTGCTTTGTTGTGGCTGTTAAGAACTATACCAACATGAATTTCCTATGCAGTATATGCAATACCCACATTTCACCTTAACAAGACCTTTCTTCATTTTGCCTTCAAAGGAAGCAGGAACAGGCCTTTGGAAGGAAAACGCTTTTATTAAGATACGATCTGTATCATATTTCTGGATATTATTTTGCGGGGCGTTAACTTGAATAAATGCTGCAAGGTTATCCCAGTATGGTAACACTTCTTAAAAAGATGGAAAGTTCGAGATGGTAATTCATAAAAGCAGTTTGCTCTGAGGAATTATTGTGTTTAGCCGGTTTCCTTTTTTTTTTTTTTTTTTTTTTTTTGGTGGGATGCCATGTTGCTAAACTGGTATTTTACAGCAGTGGCCTCCTTACTAGTGTAGTTGCAGGGGTAGAAGGAGGGAGAATGGCTGAAATGACGGAATTAAATGCCTGGAGTTGGCCACAGAAAGCAGGAAGACACAATTCGTAGAAAATGGAGAAACAAAGATTACTTTTTATTTAATCACTATCTCTCCACACTGCCCCACAAATTACTATTTCTTACTGTAGGTGAGATTTCATGTGATGTTTGGTGATATGTGAGACTTACAGCTGCATCCTGAACTGTTGTATTTCCATGGATAAGTAAAAGCCATGAGCTGATCAGATGGGTCAGTGATGTGCACAATACCCTCCTTTGTGGAGATCCTGGGTTTGGGAGTGACCTTGAGGCTTTTGCTTCCTCAGGCAAAATAGGGCTTGTAAGCATTACAAAGCCTCCCTGGAGAAGCTGGCATTTTTTTCAGGGAGCTTTTTGCATTCCGCACTGCCTGATTATTCAGCCTCAGACCAGGAAGCCTATCTTCCCAGCCCCAGAGTGAATGCAGGGTTTGCAGCTGCTGTTTTATGAGCACGGGGTTGCATGGAAGGAGAAATCAATTCAAAAGTGAAGGGTGAAAAAGACTGTTAAATGCCACTGCATACCAAGCTGCTGTATCAGGGAGTTTAAAACAGCATGGGCAGGTGTAAGAAGGAGAAAAGAAGTAAATGTAAGAAAGGAGAAGGAGAAATAGAAGTGAAAATCAGAGAAAATTAAATGCATTATAATAAACACAAATGCAGAAAGCCATAAAAAGCTCTGAACACTGAGAAAAATCAGACTGCAAGGTACTTGTGGCCATAGCTGTTGCAGTCATGAGGACCTGAGCATCAGAACAGACAGCAGAGCAGTTGATCAAGGATGGGAATCATCCAGGGCAGCTGCGTCACTTTGCCTAGAAAGCCATGCCCTCCCTGGAGCCTGAGAAGGTTTTGGATTAGTTCATATTAGTCCCACTAGGGAATCACAAATGTAAGGTTGTTTCCCACCCTTCTGTCTCTCTCTGGTATTTATAAAGCAGTAAATTAGTATGTCCCAGTACTTCTGCACCTGTAAAATCTAAAAAAAACCAACCCCAAAACATTACCATCCCACAATAATCTGCCTTCACACCAACTGTAAAACATTTACTGTGATATAGATGTCTCTGAACGTTATTCCTGGGCTGAAGTCTGGAAATGAGCCAAACACAGTAATGGTGAAATAAGAAAAACTAAACTGCTAGTGCTAGGGAGCAGTTCAGAATTATTTCTCGTACAGGTCTGTCACTGGGCAAGGGAGAGTCGATTTAACAGATGCTAAAATGCAGAACTCTGCTGTCCTCCTTGATCTTCGTTTAGGTTTGGATTATATCACTCCAAAAGCATCTTTGAATATGATAGACCCTTTTGTTTAAGGAAAAAAAAGCAAGCTGTATGATCTGATGATGTAAGACAATTTTTGAGAGAATTTTTGCAGGAGCATTTATGGATGCTGAATCTGTCGTAAAAGTTGAATCTCTCACATCACAGATGATGGGGAACAGTCTAGCTGTTGACTCTGAGTTTGTATAATCCTAATGAAAAGAGTTTTCTCTCCATGCAAATGTAGTCCCTGCCACTGTGTCAAATGCTTATTTAATCTATTATGCTGCATGGGTTTTGGTGAATTCTAGGTGCAACTTTAGCAACAGCAGTGGTTTTGCACTAACCCTGCAATAAAACAGGATAAGAAAAATAAAGGGGATCCATTTTGGAGATGATATCTTCTGTAATTCAGTGGAAAATCTGAGGCATGCTATTGAGGCTTGCTTTACTACATCTCTGTCTGCACCAAAGAAATTACAATTTTGGCTGAGTACTTTCTATGTGAATGAAATACTTGCTGAAATATTTGTGTGCGTGAGTATGCATGGTTGCTGGTTTGGTTTGTTCTTTTTCTTTTTTTTTTTTTTGACCTGAACATCACAAAGGTAAACAAAACGAGCAGAAACCCTTCTTGGAAATGACCAGAAAGCAAGAGGCTGTACTGTGATCACAGCTGAGCAACTGGTCCTCTTTACTGGTGCTCGTTTGGGAATGACCGGGGACTGCTAGCGTGTCAGCCTGGTGTGGCCTGTTCTCCTGCCCACAAAGAGCTTTGTTGGGCTGCAGGACATTTCTGAGGGCCTTTTACAAAAGCATTATTCCAAAATACATTGTCCTCAGCTGGCTAAGTGGTGGCAGTAGCTGGGCACTGCTTTGGCTTGCAATGGGAAGTTCTGCTGGTTTTATATTTTACGCATACTGTTGCTGAAGGCTAGTGGAACAGGAATTTTGATTGAGAGCCTGTCATTCAAGAAATGACTTTTCAGTTGAAATAAAGTGATAAAGTTTAATGCATTTTCTGAGATAACAAACCTTAAAGCTGAAGTCACTTGTGGATTAAATTTACTGTGATTCCTGTGCAGGGTCTGTGCTGTTAAAAGTTATTTGAACAGCAACATGTCAAATGATGGTTTTAACAGTTCTGCTTTTGTTGTCTTTGTTGGTATTTATAGAAGAAGCCCAGATGTACAAGCTAAAGAAGAACTGTGGAAACATATTCAGTAAGTACAGTGCTCGCAGGATCTGAGTGACTTCTTGGTCTGCCGCTAATGTAGTTATTCACATCCCCTGCACTGTGGCTATGAGGCATTGCATTCTTACTTAGTTACGTGCCACAGTAAATTATGCAGGTGTAAATGACCTACTGTGCATAGAAGATATTGCAGACCACTAAATGCACTGAATACAGATGACCATTGTATGTAGATGAATTATTAAAGAAGAATACAGCATTTTAGAGATTTATTCCTCTGAGGCTTTCAAAATGTCCTTGTTTGTAATATTGACACTTTCAGGATGACACCCTGTATGCTATAAAACTGCCAGTTAGGAATATAGTTATCTATTCCAAAGCGTATTTGATGTTAAGTACACACAATGCACATATATATTGTGAAGCAACAAGATCAGATTTGCAGTGAGGTGAGAGGAAGGTGGAACAAGATGCAACATGCAGTTGAAGCAATCAAGGTGAAGTTAGACACATTTCTTAATAGGTTTCCTATTTTGATGTCAAGATAACTTCAGGGCTGACAACAGCTTGTTTCACTAAAGCTTTTCAGCCTAATATAATAAAAAAAAAAAGAAAGGTTTTGCAGTTGGTAGCTACTGTTACATTTTTTACTTTGCTTAATCCTTTCTAGGAAGGAGCTTGTGGATCCATCTGGCCTGTCTGAGGAACAATTGAAGGAAATCCCATACACTAAAATAGAGTGAGTTTATGTCAGGATTTTAATTTGTGACTATGAAAGCCTACTTTTCTTCTTTTACTGTGAACTTTGTCATACTGAAATAGGAGTGGTTTTACACATAATCTCTAAGCTTTTATCTACTCCAGATGCTTATCTAGGATGGGATTGGTGAGGATACCTAATGATTTTAAAACCTAGTATTTTATCTTTCCAAAATATGAAAAAAAATCTTCATCTCTCCATATCTCTCCCACACTCATAAACCTGCTGTATGACTATAAGTTCTGTATGTGTCCCTGTCCCATCCTTCACTCTATTTTATGTTTTATGCTACAGAATCAGAGAGAACTGAATGCAAACAAGCAAATGCTTTTATTTCCTAAATTTCTGCTTCCTTTAAAATTTTTATTCTGATCATGTAAGGCACTGTTTGACCTGTTCACCCCCCCTTTCCTTGCTTGTCATGGGCAGCTGCCAGGGCATAACTATTTCTTTAAGAATGGACATCTGTTTTACTGTGATAATTGCCCATTTGGGATGCCATGTGTCAGTGCAAGCAGCTGCATGTGGCAGAAATGGGATCCTAGTTTGCATTATAATGTGCTTCCACAATACCACTGAACAGGAAAGGCTGATGTTAAAGCTGTATATATTAATGCAGTCTTTATTAAATAGTTTCGTTTTCAAATATAGTCATGACAGTTTGTGACCTTTTCACTTTTAAAGCATTGAAGTCCAAGTACAGAATCATAAGAAAGCGTCAGCCTTTTAAATTCAACAAGACCAATAAGCCATTGGTTATACTTTAATAAGAAATGTGAGGATCTCTCAGTCTGCAGTTTAATCTATTTTTTTGTGCTGAAGATCTGGTTTACTAACCTAGCATTGTGAATTCTGTGTCTCTCTTAGGACTCAAGGTGACCCGATCCGCATTAGGCATTCACATTCCCCTCGAAGCTACCGTCAGTATCGGCGCTCCCAGTGCTCTGATGGTGAAAGATCTGTCCTGTCTGAAGTGAAGTATGTGAATGTGGTTATTAGCAACGGATTGGTTTAGTGTGGCTTAGAAGTTGTTCAAAGATCATGGTTAGATTAGAAGAGGCATAAGTGTGTCTGTTTGCTTGCACAGGATTCAGGCAACCCTGAAATAGTATGTGTTCAGAGCTAAATATCTCAAGTACAAAGACATTTCTGCTCTGTTTTGGGTCACAGAGGCTTGCTTGATCCACTCAGAATGGGGGCAAACTGAATAATCTAAAATAAACCTGTGTTGCTCTTCAGTGGTAGGTCATGAAGTTGCCTAAGGGATGAGAACTCATGAGTTGCTTTCCAGACAACTTCATACTCAAGAGGGTTAAGATGCCATCTGTATTAACTCTGTAATTTATTTCATGAGAACTCCAGTACAACCCTCTTCAGTAGTGGGTGCATCAGTCTCTCCTAGAAGACTGATTTGTAAAGGGTGTACTTCTGCATGGAAAAGTGGCAGTCCTCAGTTTTATTAAGGCCTTAAATGATGATATTACCCACTTGGGAAGCTAGTTTCAGCTGGATGGCACCCTGAAGGAGGTGTGGCACACCCATGATTTCAGATGAGACTCATCTCGCATGAAGTTGGGCTGCCTCTGTAAACCAGGACACAGGCCCCTTGAGAAGGGATGGGGTGACCTGTGCCACAAAGGTGCCTACTGACTGCTGAGTGTCAGCGGGTTAGCTTTTGGATGTCTAAAATTAGGTGATAAGCCTTTTGTATTTTGACTTCCAGATCTATGTAGTTCTCTGGGTCAATTTCATTATCCTTCCTGTGTGCAGTTATAGTTTGCTTCATTATAGCAATATCCATTCTGTAATATTGTCATTCCAGTGCAAAAACTGATCTGGTGCCTCCACTGCCTGTTACACGATCTTCAGATACCAGGGGTCCCAGTATCCAGTTAACTCAACAGGTTAGTAATTGTACATCCTTTGCAATTTTCCTTTCTTTGGAGGGAAGGGGTGGGGGACTAGTGCTTTATTTAAATTAGAACTTTGCTTTCCAGTGAAAATTAAAGTTGGCTGAGATTTTTTCTGTGGCAGTGTGACTTGAAATTTTACATTTTGCAGACTGACTACTTTGTTTATATTTTCAAATGTATGTAGTTCTGCAGCATATATGCCCCTGTGAACACTCACTTCTGCTGC